GATCGTTGGCCGCCAGCCAATAGTGCAAGAATGAGTACCAAAACACGTCTATCAGTGTAAGTTATAGTACGTTTATCGTGCCCGGGCTGACTGTATGACATCATAATACTGCACCATAGTTGACAGCTATTCGGAAAGTCAGATTCGACCGCGACGTAGTCGAACTGGTATGCGTCCGGTCCGGCTTGTGAGGTTAAAGCTTAGCTACAACACCAGTCTCTCTGTGGCTATGGAAACCGAAATCGAACAGCTCGTGGCCGCTTGATACCGGCAGCCGCAGTCCATCAATGGGAGCGCCCCTCAGGATCTACATACCGTTGCTCCTTGACAAATATTAATTATTCTGCAAGGCTTGGATCATGTATGCGCACTGCCAGCCATTTTTGTCAACCTTGCAGCGGTCTCACAGAATCCATGGAATTTCAAGCATCACTGGAATCTATATTGCCCACTTCATCAAGGGCTGCGATACTATACAACACAACAACATACTGTACATACTCTTCGTACCAGTAATGCTCAAAAATAGCGTTTAGTGTCAAAACCAAGAGGCACTAGTTGGCCCCGACGCTACGGCTCGGTCCATCCGCCGCGGCGGGTCAGTGACCCAGGTTGACGAAGTTATCTGCCACTTGACCGAATCATGGCTCCTCGGTGGCGTCCCTGGTCGCTACAAGCCGCGACACCGTCGACTCCCTATTTGCTAGAACACACGGCGCAGTTGTGATAGAGCGTTTCCAAGGGCTCAAACTTGGGCCCTGACCAGCAAGGTTGTCTGGGGTCGGTAACAGTAGACCAATCAACATCGCCCCAGGTCCACGTCTCTGGTTTTTCAATGTTAAGACCAGGGCTACCGTGGCTAGTCCACTTACTAGTTGCCAACGGGTGAGTTGCAGCCGTCGCACGACGTCAGTGCCGCCAGCACAACTCTTCTCCCGTCTTGCCATTTTATTGCTCCGTATATTGTACATATTCAGGGGGGGTAGCTGAAGCCAATGCCGGTGCCCTGCTGCCGTGGCTGCGTTCATGCAAAACGCGGAGCATATTTTTTGGAACACGTGCTACGTTGTTGGGAGCAAGTGGTACTGGCACGTCATGGTTGCCGCTTCTTCAGATCGCTTCATGATGCTGCTTCTCAAGTATTATGCCTGGCATCAAAGGTCCATTGAACGGGCCCCCGCAGGCCACCTGCCTATGGCCTAGGACCTGGGAGCCTTTCTAGCCGACTTGAACCTAGTGGACCGGTGGTAAGGGTCCTGGTTCCATGACGGGATCTGTCAGAACAGCATACGCCGAAGCCCCTGTTACTCCCCAGATGGCTCTGGACGCTGGCGCAAAAAGTGACCTTGATTCGTTTCTGCTCTTCAAAGGAATGGTCGGTCTTACGGTAGCAGAGTACAGGGCTCAAGGATCCGACTATCAAGACGGAATGGCATCAAGCAGTGCCGCACCGGACGATTTGGCTTTGCTCTCTCCGGTTTCACTCGTCTGATACGGCGACAGTGTACCTCGGTACCTAAGTTTCTTGGGCAAGTGTTGTTGTCTCAAAAGTGGAGGCGGTAGCAAAGGTACGCAGCGACTTGGTGTTTGGTGTCGCTCCGAATATTCTTTACCGAGAAGACACCTCTTGAGTTCCCCATTTAATTCATAGGCACACACGTGGGGAGCATGTAAAAGAACCCTTGCCATCTTGAAGTGTTCGGCTAAAAAGGACGACTGCAGTCTTTGAACAGGATTCTCGCTGGCTCCAAGCTGGCTGGGTTCAAATGCGGTATACTCCGTACGCATTACTGAGAGACTCTATGGGAACCAGGCTTGAAACAAACCTTGGCTGAACATCTTCAAGGTACCAGGCAACCTGGGCAATTTGTGGAATGTGGACGACAATACAATAGGCACCCAGACACGGAGTAAACGTCCATATGTCCATAAGCCTTTGATGACGCTACTTGTACCAATACCTGGGAACATGAGGTCCCCGATCGAGCCCGACAACCTGGTTGTTGGTAGTCTTGTCTCTCGATGCTGGTTTCGAGGACTAGATCAAATTAAATATCCTGGTACTGTATATTGGACGCCGAGCGGGCAGTCAGTCAGTGACCAGTTGTCTGAGACATGCCTCGTCGAAGCAACTGTGACTGCTCGGGTTTTGCTTTCTTTTCCCTCCTTCTTTCTTTCTTCCTTCCCATATTGTATATTCTATGTGCATGAAGTACGGAGTAGTGCAGTGCCATTGCTAGAAGAAAGTGGTCACCTCCAGTCTCTCCACATGTCCTCTATCATTGAGACGAGAAAGGTATTGATTGCCTAGCACGCCAGAACTTCACACAGTTCAGGCCGCAGATACGTTTGTCTAGAGGGAAGCATTTTAATTCTGGCGTGAAAGCCACTGAAATTGGATCGTGAGAACTCTTCTGAGTCGTATCATGCTGTCCTATAAGAGAGAACCATCTTTACTAGTCCTTGATTCGGCGGCCAAATAACTTTGAACCTTGCATACGCCCGACATCATCTCCAAGGCAGTGTAAGTGCAGACTTGGTGAAACCAACTTGTAAACTAGAGTGGGAGGTGTGCTCACTTACAAAAGATATACGTGCATACATATCCGCCTTGATAATGAAATTCACAGGCGATATGGTTGGCTTGGTGTTTACGACTTCACGCTTATTCCTTGCACTGTCATCTGCCTGGCACTCAGCTACCTGAGACTTGGAATTGTCGAGATAGTCGAGTACGGAGAATCTACTATCAAAATACAAGGGATAGCGGTTCAAATGTAAGACAGAACAAAACGGTATGTTGAGAGGATCCTTAGCTGTCATTTGTTCTGAGGCTCAAAAGATGCCAAGATCTGACTTATAAAGACAGAAAACGCCCATCAAGAAACAAATGCCACTCTCTCTCAGGCATTGTAGTAGAAGACGCGTTGCATCTCGACAGACCGAGTCCAAATTTCCTAGATCACCAATAGGCCGGCAGCAGAGGCGGGAGAATACACACGGGCAGCATCTTTGACCTGCTTAGCAACACTATTGTCACAGGCTATGGCCAAGCAATTCCCAACCAGTTGTGGTATGTCAGGCTTGATATGTCATGGACGTTCGAAAGAGGGGGTGTGCAAACTGGAGGAACTGCATACCAGGGTCGTTTACGGAGTAGTCTGTATGGCTTGTTTGAATCACATCAGCTGCGAACCGTTCCTGCGGCTGCATCCTCCTTCAAGACCTTCTTGTCTGGAACACGCCCCCCCAGAGTTGCAACGACCCGCCAACAATGGCTTGTGTTGCGACATTTCCGGTCGTTGACGATTGCGTCTTTGAGGCCAATGGCGAATTCTAAGTGACGACCTTTGCAAGCCGTGCAGAAATCCCTCTCGGGATATCGCAGTCCCCATGGTGCCGCTTACAAGAGAAGGGCCAAAAAGAAAAAAACGTAATCACGCCGCTCAGAAGAATAGTCTCTCATAAGACCGTGCTGCCATTGAGGCTCCGCTCGGCTAGGCATTCTCTTCAGCAAAAATGGATCGCATCATGGGCTTGAAATGTGACGAAATGTATCAGGCGTTTTGCCGATCTTCTTCCCTTCTTCCACGTCCAAGACATGATAATTACCAAACAGGCATGCATAAGAATTTGCTTGGGTCTAGCCAGGAAAGCTCGCATTTCCCACTGGCCGCCGCCCTGAAATCAATAACAAACGGCCCCCATTCTTCGCCCTGGCCTGCCTTAACACCCCTCTTAACGCCTGCCTTCCACACCGTAACTCTTAATGTTTGCTACTACCCGTGGTCTTGGTGGCGGACGAAGTGATGGGAGGCATGGCTATCGCGGCAAAAAGAGGGCTGGGCTGAGTCCCACATTGTCAATTTGGGGGCTCCCGTCTGATTATTCTTTACCTAGGACTAATAGGCTTGGCGGCCATGGCAGGCATTGTAAGCAGTCGATATGTATGTGCGTACTCCGTACATACACGAAATACCCAAGTCCTTGTTGATGGGCTCTATTTTTAGTCATCTGCAGAGGCTTTGACATTTGTCTCACAGAAAGCAGTTCAGACGGCGCCCATTGGAGTTTGTCAACCTTGACCCAAAGGGAACAAAAAATTACAAGGCTTTTTGGCAACGGTGACGACTTAGAACGTCCGCGGCTTCGGACGGACGGATCGCCTAGCTCCCGGCAATAGTACATCGCCAAGCCAGCCGGGCATCACATTGGTCGCGAGAATATACGTACTACATACATATGGAAAGCTCAATGCGCATGTTTCACATCTTCATCCAACGTGGGGATTCTCTCGGTAGTTTTACGACGGCAATTGAGCTGTATCCGGCATACTCCGTACACTGGACCGAACGCCGTGGGTGGGGGAACGCGTGTATTTCGGCAGCTCAAAAGGCGATCAAGGTCCAAACAGGCGGCGCATCTCTACTTTTGGCCCCAAGTCGCGCTGAAAAGCCGTGCGCCAACTGAAAGTGCTTGTGTCCTGGCTTGCGCCTCGTCGCAGACCTCGAATGATTTTGACTTTGGGAGCGCTTGGCGCGGAACTGCCATCTGGTCACGCGAGGCTGCCCTCAAACCAATTACGTCCCGGTATGGATTTCTGTCAATGTTTGTCGCCTTGATTCAGTCATGTGCCTACCGAGTTCGTATTGATCTTCCAGGGCGGTGTGTGTCATGGGGAGATTGCACCACGAAAGTGCAACTCTATGATAGTTATACAATACGAGAGGACAACGGACCCTTTTTTGTAACTAATCTCACCATTAGTGTATTACTGTTTCACTCCTTTCTAGGGACATTTTGTGGTAGGCGAGCGCCATGTGCAAACAGAGGCGGTGATTCGGATTGTGCCAGTCTCTACTAGACTACTGACGTATAACCTTCAACTAAATTTACCCAACTACCTCTTTGAAAGCAGTTTTATCCCCAAAATGGCAGATATACATGCATCTGTATCGTTTACACCGTACCGATTTCCAACTCATCATCAAACACTATGTCTAAGGGTTTAGAAAGGCCTCAATTTCATCCCGCAACTCGGCGAGATGCTTCCCAAGGCTCTCCTCCTTCGTCTTGACAGCTCGAAAAGAAATGTCCACCACATCTGAAAACATTGACTTGCCACTCCCACCGTCTTCAGATACCCCTTTGCTTCCACCGCCATTGCTCAAGGCAGGATCCAAGGCCGCAGTCGCCACTCGGAGACGAGCGAGAAACTCCTCTGCCAACTGGATAGTAAGAGACATCTGCAATGATGGAGAAGGGTCCACGGCAAAAGACCCAACTTGGACGTCAGGAAGTCTCCAGAATCGGAAGAGAGCTTCCGAATCAACTTGAGACAGTTCCATGCGAACCAGACTGAACACCTTTTGATACATGTCGAGCAGGCGGACATATATCGAGAGAACAAACATGGAGTTTCCGGGGTCAGAGTTGTCCATTCTGGTTGCAGAAGCGCCTACTCCTGCCGACAACCGGTCGAGGACATCAGCCACTCGTCGAGTAAGCTTGAACATCTCATCAATTGGAAACCCCTGGTTGGCAAACGCTTCATCATTTGATCTGCCCAGGGTGTCAAAATTACATGCTGCCGGTTGCTGCTGGGGCAAGACAGACGCAAGGTCCAATAGCCGAGAATTGATTTCAGATAATTGCGCCATCCAGTGTATACTTGGGGGGTCTATGTGTGTGGCTGGTGCGTTTGCGATCTGGCGTAACGCAATTTGCCTCGGTCGGTTTCTAAGACGGGGCCTTCTGCGCTTTTCTGCAAGAGACTGACTGTGAGGAGTCTCTGTCAGACTCAGTGTAGGAACGGCTGATTGAAACCCGCTGTTGTCTCCGGGTTGGAAAGATGTTGGCGTAGCGTGGAATGCTTCGGCGGCTTGATTCAACTGCTGATCCCAAGGGTCTGGGAACGTGGGGACAGGCTGAAAGGTGTCAAGACCTCCTGGAACTGAGTTGTGTGGCAGGGAAGCGGCTGGAGGGGGCGAAAAGAAGTTGAGGTTCTCAATCTGGCTAAAATCAAAGTCTGCTGGTTCCAACGATGCCTCAGTGGCGACGACACTCTGCTTCTCAGACAATGTGTCCTCGGCCTGCTGATTGATTGGTATTCCTATAGACGAGAAGGGGCTATTAGAATAGCTGCACAATACAATGTCATATCATTGTGGTTTCAAGGTAATATAACATGCCTTGTTCTCCTGAAAGCAGACCCAACTCACAAGCTGTCCTTCGACGCTTGGGCGAACGCCTGCCGACAGGGGGCTTTGACACTGGCGTAGAATATGCTGATGGTTGTGTTTGAGGTTTCTGTTGATTCTGATATGGGGTTCTTTGCTGCTGGCGTTGGTATTGCTGGCCGTGCTGCTGTTGCTGCTTCTTATAGCGAAGAGAGGGACTTGATTTGCACTCGGTCTGAAGTCTGACACAGCGTTCGCAGGCCTCGTCGCCGACTCGTTTACAGCTCAGCTTCTGGGAGTGGCAACGGTCGCAAGCTTTCCTAATAATGCTATCGGCCATGGTAATAGCCATATTTTCGGAAACCAGAAGGGCTGGTGAGAGACATGTGGAAGTTTAAGAAGACATTGCCGAAATGTGAGAAACTCCTTGCCCTTGCACCACTCCAATAATTTTCTCGCCTTGACTCTACGCGTGAGACAGGAGTCGGCGAAATCATTGGTTACCGAGAAAGCGTTTAGAGAGATGCAGAACTCCGTGGCCCTGGGCCTGGCCAGTTCGTTTCCGGTGATGTTGACGCTGTGTTGACGCTTTCCAAATTTGGCGTGCTCATCAAAACTTCTAGCTCTGTGAAACGTCTGAGATCCGGCGTTTTGGATAGGATGAGACAAAGTAGCCAGGCTTTTTCTCCATGCAATGCGGACTGAAATGTTGGGGGTTCAAAGCGCCGCCCAGTTCGCTTACCAAACTGTCGGTTCAAGATGAGCAAACGCAGGCTAGTCTTCCCGTTCCTTCGTATACCAGTGACACAAGAAACCATGCTCGAATATCTTCACTGGCGTACCGACCCAATGGATCGGTGTTTCAAGGTGTCCGAACAGCGGGTCTGCGGAAGACCCAAGATCAACCTCAGGTAAGCTTTTGTGAGTTTAATGTCGCCCCCAGCCATCTGCATAGATATGTATGGACTTGCGTAACGTTACCCAGAGCAAAATTACATTGCATCGCAAATAGCGATATCTCGTGTTGTGCTCTCATCCAGCACTGACATATAGCCACTATAAAAGTTGGACACTATACTGCATAAACACATTTCTGGGATATCAGGTGCTGGAAACAGAGGATTACCATCGCCGAATTACTCTTGTATAACATCTGGGAAACCTTGATGCCGTCATTCCGCACGGGAAGCGGATTTCGGCAATGAGCCGTTTCTGTGTTGTGGAACCAAGGTTTCCGGGTTCAAGGAGCTCGTCAATTTGCCTGCCCATATCCCTTCGAATCCGTTGGGGAAATTTAAGTACCTGAAGACGGGACGCCACACCTGAGTATATACGAACAGGGACAGCCGCGCAATCCCCAGAATTATATGCCATTGTATGGTTGGCTGGAAACTGAAATGCGGCAGTACTTCATTCCTGCAGAGGTGATATCCGGGTGACTTGACTTGGTCAAGCACAATTTGCCTCTTGATGCACATAAGCGTCAAGATTCATCTCGGTATATAGGAAAGTACGTCGAGGTTGAAGAGCCTACTATGAGTATCAGATGTAGATTCTTAAGAGCGTCAAAATTTTCATCCTTACGCAGGGTCATAGGCTCCAAATGATTTTCAGAGAAAATGCTGCTGTTCATCCTTTTCAAAGCCGTCGAATGTCAAAAGAGCTGCCAGCGTTCAGGGTTCAAGTAGGATGCTTTCGTACTTCCAAAGGCCGAGTACAGCACAGCATTGACAGACAAGCCCAGGCTTTCGGTTTCGGCAAGGTGAGCTTTGCGGATGCCGTATGAGAATTTCATGGGACCAAGAAGCGAGCGGCGTTGGAGGATAGACGCAAGATAACGCCTCACAGATTGAAGTCCAGAAGTTCGAGCCAGAGAGGGCGGTGAGGATGCCAGTAACCGCCTTCAAGTGTAACAACGGCAGCACGGTAACGCATGCAGTCGACATCCGAACCTAAATTCGGCATTTGTGCGATGGATTTTAATCTAGTTTGAGCCCATAAGTCTCATTCAACGTGAGCGCCATTAATGAACTGCCAGCCTGGCCATGTGCATCTGATCTAGACCAGGGCCGTTTACACGTTCCACAGGCGGCGTAGATTAATCTCATTCCGAAGTGTCGGCGTTCGGGGGTTAGGGATGAGTTCTGAGAACCGTTTTAACATGCCGAAAGTTCGATCGATGGTCTATGCGACTCTTTTCATCATCGCGAATTCAATAAACTTCAAAATCCAGCTTCCACTATTCCATTCATTTCAAATTTGACGTGCCCCAAGCCCCAGCATTCATTGTTCCAGTAGTCTTCGCAGTGTTTGATGATCGTCTGCAGTGGCTCGACAGCTCGGCAGACTTGAGGCTAGAATGAGTATCAATAGCTCGGGACATTAATCTGTCTTGATATCATCATGGCTCAATATTCTACCAACTGGTTATCACCAACCGTGGCTTAATTCACATCTTTTTAGCCGAAGAAAATCATCCCACAAAGTAGCGACCAGGCAATCTGTACCGGTGTGTAGATCAGCCCGTTTCCTGAGATTTGGATCTGTTGATCACGACTCACCACCAGTAGATGGTGCAGTCAGCAAAGTCAGAGGGCATCTGAGTTCCGGTTGTCCTCTGGGTTGTCTTGATAACGCCGCCGACGGGTGGCAATCATCGACCGGCCGTTGACGTTCAAGGTGGTTGATGACACATGCTGCAAACCATGGATGAAAGTGACGTATTCAAAAGCCGCAAGACTTGAGCACTGTCGCGGTGGTAGCGAATTAACGATGGTGATGTCTAGCTAACATTGAACAAAGGACGCCGCACCTATCCAGAATTGACGTCAGTATTCGATGGTTGTTTCGACCACGCTTCAAAAGACCTTGTGACTAGAGTCTAGGAAGTAGTTTAAGAGAGGCGGAGATGCTTTGTAGAGCTCACCAATATTAAGACCGAAATGCAAATTACTTGGTCTGGATATGCTGAGGACATGTGCTGCAGGTGCCAGGGAAATCAAGGTCCAAGAAGGTACGGGGCCTGGCAAGTGACTGGCACCTGCCGCCAGCTGCATTCCATGTTTCCACCCGGCAAACAATTAAAGCCTCAAATGCTGACATTGGCAGTCTTTTCAGTATCGTCATAAATTCTGCGGCCAACCTCGTCTTGCAGGGCTTTTGGGGATTCTCGATGCACGTCTCCTCCCGAAGTGTGTTTGGGCATCAGAAAAGTCTGATTCCTCATCTACTGCAATGGCGATGAACCCCGAACGGGAGAAAATGCTCAGAGATGCTTCCGCCAAAGAAATCGAGCTTCCAAATCCGCCACGCGTCAAGTGCATTCGCATCACCGGCTCAAACGTTGTAGCACTGAAGGATACAAATGCTGCCAGGCCCAAGCCGGATCGTCCCGATGCAACTAAGACGTCCGCTACTACATCACGAAAACGATCCCGCGACTTGCTCGAGCAAGAAAACCTGGGAGATGTTGCATTTGATTACCGGCTCCGTCGACAACATGCTGCCCTTTTCCCTCTCCGTATGTGATTTCAGCACCATGTTCAGCTTCTAGACCCATCTAACCCTGTCGCACAGCGCCTCCCCCTAGCCATCACACGACATATCTCACAAGCCTGCTTCAAGGCTGGCTGTTGCGGCTGACCTTGGAGCCAAAGCCGACCAAAAAGTCTGTTCCTGCAGTTTCCACACACACGGACCAAATCACGAGCGTCGGACTGCTTGTAAACGAACTAATGCGCCGAATGGGACTTCCAGTGCTGCGTCTGCCTACGTTGAACGAAGTCAGCCAGCTTGCCCCTGCACATGAATACTCCATAGACCGCGTGGCACATGGCTCACGGCTGGAAGATATTTAGAAATGTCTTTCAGCTTCGCAGAAATATGATATAGCCCGTCAGGTTCGAAAATTTGTCACACAATTACGGAAGACTCCACGGCAAAACGCGCAGCTGGGGTCTATTGCCTCTGGGAAATGTTCCCTCATGCTGGACAAGCATCAAAACAACACCCACTGGGCTGTGCGGCTAAACCCTACTCACAGCATGTTTATAGCATTTCTTATGTCGTCCTTTTACGCCACAGTTCCCAGTTCTGTTGGTGCTGCACTTGCTGAGCAACTTAGGCGCGAATCTCCGCTTGTCATGTCGCATGGCGACATTTGCCCCAAGAATATAATAGTTGACAAGTCCCAAATCATTGCCATTATGGGCTGGGACTGTGCAGGCTGGTATCCAGACTGGTGGGAATATGTAAAGTTTTTCGAAGCCCGCACCAGTGACAAGAATTCTGATTGGTATGAGTATGCAAGCGAAATCTTCTGTGAAGAATTTCCCGCCGAGTTGGCAGCATACCAAGGAGTCGTTCGATGCCAGCTCCCCTAGCACAATGACGTCAAGAGCGTCTGCTCGAGTTTCTTTGGGGCCAATGCTGAAATTCGGAACTTATACTTCTAATGGTGCTGCTGTTAGCCTCGATTGATAACAGAGCACGAAACATGGGGTTTTGTGACGACTGGCGAGCTACGCGCACATTGAGTATTGTCACCAAGGTGTATATATTACATATATTCAGCTACATTCGTCACATGTCAAACACTGCTTTTCATTTTTCAAACCGCTTGGAAACCGTGCTCCAGTTGATGACCTCCCAGATGGCACTGAAATACTCAGCCTTGCGATTCTGGTACTGCAAGTAGTAAGCATGCTCCCAGGCGTCAATACCCAGGAGAGGCTCAAAGTTGCCAACGACGGGATCCTGGTTGGCACGAGTAACAAGAGACAGTGTGCCCGAGGTCTTGTCTTTGACGAGCCAGGCCCAGCCAGAGCCTTGGATGCCAGCAAGAGTCGCGTTGGTCTGCTTCTTCAAGTTTTCGAACGACCCGAAATCTTCATTGATGGCGGTCTACGCGAACGAGCAATTGTCAGTATTCACGTGCGCCCCCAGAGGCTGACGAGGGCTAGGTCGACATACCAAAAGTTTACCCTCGGGCTCACCACCACCGCCCTTTCCATTGGGGGCCAGGTTCTCCCAGAAAAGGGAGTGGTTAACGTGGCCACCACCGTGGAAGTTCAGAAGAGGACCTTGAGCAGCGGCCGCTTTGGTGTCGTTCGTGGAAAGGGCCTCAGCAAGCACCTCGCTGGCGGCATTGAAGCTGTTCACATAGGTTTGGTGGTGCTTGGAATGATGGAGCTCCATGATCTGGCCGGAGATGAAGGGCTCGAGAGCGGCATAATCGTCTATTGGGGGCAATCAATCGCGCAAGGAATTAGCGACATTTGTTCCTCCAGCCATACACGTCGGTGCGAGAACCATGCGGATGCGACGGAGCCAACTGGGATAGACTTACAGGGAAGATCAGGCAGAGTGGCCTTGCCACGGACGAAGCTTGTGCTAGCCATGGCCATGGGCTTAGCGGCACGCAGGCCGGCCCTCACAACGGGCGTGGTGCGAAGAAGCGCTGATGACATGGTGGGTTCTGTGTTTGACAACGACGAGTCTGTTAGCTTGCGGAGGGAGAGACACCTTTGAGAGAGATGCGATGGAGGTGGCAGGAATGAGGGCGATTGGACTCAGAGGTCGGGACTGGTGACGGATGCAGGCTGAAGGTTGATGTTTAATAGGGACTCGACGTATGGCTTACCAATTGGAGCAGGGTGGGTGGTGGAAGGGAAGAGGTGGATGATGTCAAAAAGTTGGGGACAGGAGCTTTCGGATAGCCGAGCTTCGAGGTGCTGGAGCTTGGATTGCGTCGGGTGCATCAGCCCGTCGTCACTGTGGGTGGGTGACGCTAAACGTCGGCAGCAGCTGGGCTGGTTGGCCTGTTGCGGAAAGGCTGGTGTTGTGGCTGGTGTGGCTTGACCGGAATTGAGAAAGCTGTTACAGACATGGGCTACCCAAGGAAGTACCTAAGTAGGTATTGAGTTGGTTATTCGATAAGCTCAATTAAATTTGGAAAGATGTCTGTTTGGTCCCTTGCGTGTGCCCAACGTTCTTTTGTTGTCTTTGGCCTCGAGCTGTTGTTGATGGAGTTGGCCACGGTTCTGACGACACTTGGGCAGGCAGCCACCGTAGGCTATTCGGCTCAATACAGAAAGCTGTTCAAGTTCAAGCACGTCCTTGGCACGACTCAGCTCGTCACCAGCCTAGTGCAATTATGAATAAATTATAAAAAGGCAATTCCTAGACCTCGGCCTTTCTATGCAATGCCGAGCCGCGAGGCGGAATATAATGCTCTGTCTGCCAGCTTTTAGGTAAACTAGCCGATCGGAGGCGAGCGCAGGTCCGAGCCGACGTCAAGACCTTGGCGGGTGAAATCCAGGGCGACGCCCTTGACTCATTTTTAATACGTTTGTCTTTGTATCTGAAACACGGGCACCTTGAAGATGGCCGTTATTTTTCTGTAGAATAAGGCGTTGTAGTTTGCACGAAACATTCAGCAGCGAGATTCACGTCTGCCGTGTAACAGAGCTCCAGGCAGTCTGTGCTTGGCAATGACGACACTGCCACTGCCGAAGCAAACAGCGCGCCAGTGCCGTGACAGGCGTTAGTAATCACATCAAGCTGTCGCTGCCCAGACGCGTGTGGACCACTGGACACCAATTGGTATCTCAAGCTGGACTGTGGAGGGGCCAAGTCGCGGTGCATCCATCGCATGTTGATTGATCCCACCAACCGAGACCTCTGTAGACGAAGCTTCTTCCATTGGCAATGCCGCATCGCCATTCATAATGTCGTACTACGACGTGGATGCTATCCTCACAGACGCAGAGGTACCCATGGACTCTCAATGACAACTCGCGGTGCCAACCTGTCCAGCTGACCCTCCGCAGAAAGTCCCCTGCCAGTTCGAGCTCGATGTCCCCTACCTAGGCCACCTCGACAACTCCTCCGGCCTCAAGCCCGGCACGCCGCTCTCCCTGCCCCTCTGGCTTGCCGAAATGCTCGCGCTCGCCTCCGCCGGCGAAGACTCAAAGGCTCCCCTGACGCTGAACCTGCCGCCCTGCCTGTCCGACCAAGTCATCAACGCGTTGAAGGCCGACCCGCGGGCGGTTGCGCTGCGTGACCAGAGCCCGCATTTTTACGGAGTTGGCGTCAGGATGTTGGATTTGTTCGACGAGAGGGAGCTGGGTGCCGTGCTGAGGACCACGTTTGTCGTGAGGGCCAACGATGTTGGACTGCATGCGAGGAAGGCCGAGGACTCTGTAGGCGGCCAGGGGGAGGAGTTTCTGAGGGGCCTGGATGAGTGGGAGAGGAATCTGTTTCGGAGGGGCCACGAGGGCGTAAGGGGGGCCAAGGAATGGACTGAAAAGGTGAAAAGGCTGTGATTTTCTTTCTTTCTTTCTTTCTTTTTTGGAGTTGGGCTTGGGTTCGGGCTTTGCATGGTTTGCATTTACACGGTGGGATATTTTGGGAAGTAAAAGAAGCAGTCATTGAGCGATGCCCCAGTGGTACTTGATAATGCATGAATGGAGAATGATTATTCACAGTTGGTTTGCAGAGACACGGACATGGACAGTACCGAGGAATATATGTATTTGACATGCGATTAGGCAGCTCGCAGCGTACTATTTGATGCCAGCATCTATCTCACCAGAATATCCCGTTCTTTTGCGTCCCTCCACCCCAACACCGTCTCCAGCTTCAACAGCAACACCGTCACCAACCCCAGCGCCATCCACCCCAATGTGACCAACATGTCACTCAACTCCAAGAAAAGGAAATACTTATTCGAATAGCGCACCAAATACGCCGTCCCGCCCCATATAATCCCATGAACCACCCCCATCGCGGGCTTCCCAGCTGCGGTGGCCCTGGCTATGCTCCGAGCCGTGGGCAAGAAATGAACATACGCCCAGTAAAGCACCAATCCACACTGAAACACGGCATGTAGCCATCTCTCCGATATGCAACTCCACAGAAAAGCCCGTTCAACGGCACCTCCGTACACAACTAGCCGTGACAAGGCGTACACGTAGGCTGCGGAGAAGCACGCCTGCGTGTAATACCCCTCCATGAGGGTTAAACTCATGGCCATGCAGAGCATATCGTGTATTCCAAGAGCCACCTCTCGCTCTCCGTCAAGAGCTAGAAGCGGCGTCGAGGAGGTATCTTTCTGGTCGGAGGAGGTGCCCTCTTCGGGGACGAGCCCATTCTGAATGCCCGTAAAAACAAAACGCCCGATAACAGTGCAGCATACCCAGAATAGAACCTCGCTCCAAGTAAAGGACAATGATTCCTCAACGAAATAGTGTGGCGACGACCTCGCAAGCTTCATGTTTTCGACGGCGTGCCACCAAATAAACTGCCCCAGCCATGGGACAAGTACCCTCCGAACATGGTTGGCAAGAGTGGCAGCTAGGACGAACAGCACAGCGCCAAACGGGCCATTACAAAAAATGGACCGCCTGATGATGGCAATTTGGCCCGTTGGGGCCAATTGACTTGATGAAAAGACGGATGATGCAACTGACCTCCGTGTCGTTGGTGGTGACATTGTTGAAAGCCAGGTGGGTAAGATGCTTGGTGATTTGCAATAGATGTGGTGGGTCTGACTGGGGATACATTTTGCCAGGACTGGCTACTAGTAGCCGCGTACTTGGGAAAGATTGCTTTGACCTTGGTTTTCGGAACACTCGCTTCGAAAAAAAGGGAAATAGCACCAGGGTATTTAACTTGAACCGGCAAGTATACATTGATTCTATTCATGTCATATGGCAAACGCCAAGACCAGTCCCATGATAACCGCTAACAGCGATATACAAGTCTATGTATGTATCAAAATAATCCGTATATCCCAAATCTTTCCAGAAATCAGGTTCAAAAACAAATGTCGTTATAAATGGGTATCCTCTCCAGAATATCATATCCGCCATGCCCAAACGCCTCTATAAGTAGCATATGCCCAATCAGCCGTATAAACGTGTCCTCATAACCCAATCCAACATTGTACAGTTCTTCTCTATCCGTGTACCCCAGAGGGCCAACAACGAGTGTGCATCGGTGTGGCTAAAGGAAACGTGGTACGTACTCGCTACAAAGCCAAAGACTTGTGCGATAGTGGTTCGCCAAAGGACGACCAAATCCCATCAACGTATCCCCCACTACTTAAGATCATTTGCAAAGACGCCAGGCCAAAACAAAGGGACAAAATTAAACAACGGCAGCATAAACAGACGGCGGAAGAGGGAAAGGTAAGAAATAGGTAAACTTATAAGCCAGAATCAGGTTGAACAACAATGAGGAAAGTGAATGATCAGCCAAGGAGCCTTATCTGGTAAACCACGATTGGGGGTCCCATTGACTCCGATGTAGAGTCAGACATGGAACTGGCCTGAAACATGGCCAAAAAGACTGCACTCTCATTCTGCAAGAAAGAAGAGCAAAATTTTATAAAGTTTTTGTTCGTGAATCAGTCATTGCTCCCAGGTACGAGTCCTTGAAGCCTAGTCCATCCGCCACCGCCCAGTCCCGATTTCTCGGCCAGGATAGTATGGGTGGTAAGTGACGACAAAATCCACCGATGGTTGCAAGCATTGCAAGCCTAAGATCGACTCAGCACAGTGGCTGCATACTTCAGCGCTTACATAGCGTTGGACCATTGGTAGGATTGCTCCTGAGCGTAAAAGGTAGGGGCAGGTGCGGATGAAGTAGACTCCAAAAGAGCCGCGTCATAAGGGCCAGTGTCATTTCCAGCCAACGGAAACTCATCCACGTAGGTAACTGGGTGTACTTGGTCAAAAGAGGAGAGCTCAACCATTTGTGTATCCTCAACAGAGGTGTTTCTCAGGGTGCACACATCGTCATTTTGATATTGTGTAGCCAGGCCGGCCAGGGGATTCCACGACGGCATACAAGAGTCGCCCTCAGCATCGTAGTCAGACGCATCGTCGTCGACTGCTTGATCGAGCGCCCAATCAATGTTATTGTCATCTTTCATAAATGGATCCTCGTCATCAGCGACTGCGATAACAGGACACTCATCAGCGTCGTCATCCAGGGGCACATTAACTTCTTTGAACCAAAGTTTCAGTTCAGACATGGCGGGCCAGTCACCGCCGCCTTTTCCTCCACGCTTCTCATCATTGGGTTTCTTATTCTTCCCACGAGGAGCTTTGGGTTTGAAGTGGGTGCGGCGAAGATGTGCCGCAGCGTTATAGTAAGCCCCGTACTGCTTGCCTGTAGAACAAGCTTTGCATTCTGATAATGGCTGTAAAGCTTTGACCTCGGACTGTATCCCAACAGTTGCTGGATCTTGACACACATATTTCTTGACAACACCTTTGTGTTTAGCGTTGAGATGACGGCGAAGTTCATGGTCACCACGGAAGCCATCGGGGTGCTCGTTGCAGAAGTTGCAAAAGACTTTTGGGCCCTTGGGCCGCTGATAAGGAGTCTTTTGCAGCGGGATTTTGCCGGCTTTCTTCTGTGGTGCGGTGGTTGAAGTCTTAGCGGGAAACGTGCTATCGGC